GAGATCGGCATTGCTGTTTGCGAAAAAATAAATCAAATAAATCAACCAAAAAAGCCGATCATCGGAGACAAGGCATGAACATACTCGGTGACGTAGCAAGAGGTGGCTCCCAAGTGGATAATACCTGCGGCAGCAGGTGCGACTTTCCCAAAAGTGTGCACATGTGCCATGACGTCGTGGCGACGTTTTTTCTCCTCCACTGCAGCGATCTCAAATTGCTCAGGAGTGAGTGTCTGGGGATCGGGGGAACAAAGTAAGGGATGTGAGAATTTCATACAGGAAAATAGCACCATTAGAACGCGAACGCGTACCAAATTCGCCTTCATTTGCTCAATGGCATCATCAGAGATCGGCAACCCGAGCTGCTTCTCCGCAATCGCGAGGTTCAACCACAACTTTCTCCAAGTGAAGAACCGATTCTGCCATAGCATCCAGATTAAAAAACCGAAGAGATGTTACACCGTATAAAAGGATGGGGATGAGGACATACAGCCGGAGAGAATAAGTGGGCCATCTCCTTGCTCGCATAGCGACTATTCCATTCGAAAAACAGAGACGAAAGTGTCAGAAACAGAAACCTCCAATGATCTAACCCAGGAAAAGGAGGAATCATACCTCGAAAGTGGGGTTTGATACGTCTCAAAAACCTCCATCCTGCCTTTCCACAAGTGAAGAAAGTTGGGGAAAGACGGTTTAGCCGGGATTGGGCAAATTTCCTAGGCTCTCTGGTACATTTGATTAGTCAGTCCGCCCAAGAGCACCTGGAGTGAACTCACAAAAAGAAAAGAAACGGCAAAAGAATCTAAAATATTAGTTTTATTGAGGGAGTCGAAATTAGAAAGGTGATTGTAATCTAATCAAAAGCGGGATTCCTGGTTTTTTTTCCTTCCGTCTCCGCGCATCACATGTTTCGATGTAAAATACTACCGTGACAAGGGGTCAAAAAAAGACAAAACCTGGCCGACCCTGCGAGCCTCTATACCGGATCTTCATTCCCCAGACTGCATTCAATACGCTTCCTTCATCTTTCCAAGCCCTCTTTAAATTGAGGTTCAAATTTTTGGCGTATACAAATTGAAGTTGGGATATGCTACGAAAAATTGGAGGTATGTCGGACTAATAACCTCGTCGAAAAAGAAAAAAAGGACTAAGTAATAATGTACAGTTGTTTTATCCAATTATCAATGGAGAGTCTTCACCATTCTCCTCCTGAGTCCCGCTCCAAAACCCATGGTAAGCACCACCCCCAATTCCAACCCACTCCACAAAGAAATATGGACAAAAGGTAGATTTTATATATACGTTGAGGTGTGGAAAATGATACAGTCATACATACACGGTCGGCGTCACCTAGCCACAGATCAGATCGCTCACGATAACCTCCAACAGGCGAGCCAACACATAAAACGAACTTTGGACCTACCTTAAACCTGGATCGCACCACCTCAAGTGAACGACCCATGGATTAACGGATCCCACGCGCTCTTGGACTGTAAAGTCTGCAAGAACCTCGCGCGCGGTGTATTTGTTCCTGACGCGTGTCCGTGAGCGGCCTTCCCTGTATCCTCGTTCCCCATACCACCGCCCTCGTTCTCCTTTCCCATGGGCGTCACCGGCGGAGGCGGACGACGAGAATCGATTACTTCACCTTCGGTTTCCTTCCTGTGACTACTGCTTCCCGACCTGTCCTCTGGATCGGAATGGGCCGCCGCGGCTTGCCCTTGCATAGGCATGTGCTGCGGTGCACCAGCTGCTGCTGGGGGCAACGGCTCGATGTCTGGTGGAAGGGGTAACGCACCTGCTGGGCTCGAAGCACCGACCCCCATACCAGGACGGGGAGATGGATGTGCAGAGCTCGGCGCGGTGTTTTGGGCGCTATCAGAGGGTGAGTTGGACGATGAAGTCTGTCCAAACCAGGGAAGAGATGTCCTCAGCAGAGATGATCGATTGTCAGTAAGTGGTGCCTACCGTTCTTCCCAACCTCGACGGCGGTAGCGGATAGGGATGCCCATGATATGGATAGGCATGGTGAGGATGAAGATATTCAGATGAGTTTGGTCCATGGCCCGAAGCAAAATATGGACCGATAGGCGGGGTACTAGCAGGAGTCTGCGCGCCGGATGCACCACCGCCCGTTACTGGCAAATGCGGCGTTGGCATGGCAAAATGGTTGGGGCTTGCCGTTCCCGAGGACGAGCGCGATGCGGTGGAAAATTGGGGGCGTTTCTTGCGCGACGGGTATCTCGGTCAGTGTTCATTCCACCCACGAGGAAGGGTTCACAGGGTAGGTACTTACTGGCGTGAGTATGCTGCCTAGTGCGAGGCGTAACGCCTCACGGTGCTGCAGTTGCTGTTGTTGCTGCGTCTTCGCTGCGGCAGCGGCTGCTGCCACCGCTGCCGACGACGAGGAATGGGGAAGGAGGACAGGTTCTGTATACTTTGAATCTCGGCCCCCACCATGGGATGGATTCGGTTGTGATGGAGGTCTTTGGATTTGGGTAGGCTGCAGAGATAACTTTGTGAGCATCGGTTTGAGGTGGGAGTTGATTTGAATTTATATCCGATACTTGTCCGGTCCACCACCCTGCTGATCTCCCCAACGCCAGATAACCATCCCATCATCGTCCGTTCCAACGCGATCCTCGAGATCGAGTTGAAGCGAGGCACAGCGAAGGGGGAAAGGGATCTTGGAAGAGACTTACCATAACAGAGGATCTAATTGAAATTTAAACCCTATCCAACTTCCAGATTCAATTCCCTGCTGGGCGGTGGATCTGTTAGGAGCGAGGGAGGACTCGTTGTGCGAGTGAAACCTGCGCGCTAGATCTTGTTAAGTTGCCCTGTTGCAGGTTTAGATCCAAAGAAGCGTGCTGGTCGCCGTCTACCGCGCAGACGGAAATGAAGCAGAGGGTAAGCACAGGCCTGCCAGCGGCAGCGAGGTATCAGGTATCAACTGACAAGGGTTCTAAGAATGAACTCTTCCTGAAGTGGGGGAACATATTACAAATACCCCGCATTTTGTGCAAATAAGGTAACAGATAAGATCAATTGAAGCCGATTCCCACGACGATTAATGGATCGCCTTCACCTCATCAGCAAGCTTATGGTGAAATTGGCACGACCTTGTGGCAAAATAGGAACAATTGACCCGATGTGCCCCCGACGAATTACTAGAGCTTACAGTGTTAATATACCAATTGGGGCCACTATTTCGTCGGATGAGCTCGGATCTGGCTCATATGACGCAATATCAAGCCCCACAGCGTTATACGCGCTTTACATTGGATCTCTTCTGTCAAGACGGCAGTGATTTATCCAGGATTTATCAGATATTACGATACCCACCAGACTAACCCCGAAGTTATTCTTGTTCCAGAGGGCTAGACTGCCCGGAGAACTCGCGAAGACCCTGCTGGCTTTCTAAAGATACCAACAAAAATGCGAGGAAGCAGTTCTGTTGGATGGGATAGACTCCCTGAATTTAGGACAAGTGCGTCAAGTTCAACGATCCATTACGACCTGGTGAATTCTTTATACATGCAAACATTTTTCCCAATCAGCATGTGGATCCATTTCTTGAACCTGCCTATCGCTTCACCCATCCGTGGTCACCGCCAGGTACGCGTTGATTATTACGCCTTAGAGGGCTACATCTCAAGATTCCAATCAAGAATTCCATTATTCTCTGGCTCTGACGGAGGACATTCATATTATAACTTTGACATATTGTACGAGGGAGCCTGTGAAAGGCTCTTGATTCCAAGTCGGAATAATTATTTCCCGTGCATTGCAACACTTCGGGCGAGAACTGGAGGAGCCAAGGATATCTTCTTTCGATGAACTGTCCAAGTGGTGGTAGCGGGAGCGACGTTGTCGTGCACGGCAGAATCAAGCTGTGGCAATGAACTTATGTCGTAAATGTATATAACTTACGACCGAGTTCACTTGATGCAAATTCTGTCTGGTATGGAGGTTCATGACCGTCAAAGCTCGATACGTTTTCTACGCGGTGCGTTCCGCACTTTCAGCTGCTGAAGGTATCAGGGGACAAGTGGGGTATTTTCACTTGGCTTGGGCTGGGCGTCTAAATTGTACCTCTCTGACGTATTGATCGAAGACCGCCAAGCAACACCAATAGCACTTTCACCACCGCCGCGCTTGGCTCGGTCTTAGTCTTATTGAATTCGAAAGCGTAAAGGGTAGCTTCAGTCTCAGACAAACTTAATTATTTATCCGCGAGAGCCACAAATATTGACATACGCAATCGCATGCATCATCGCTAAGCTGTCCTGAATTCCACCTCCATATTCTCTTGTCAAAGACCAAAGACGATTAACCATAGTATTCTATCATGCCCCGAGTCAACACCACCGACGAGGTTTTCAAAAAGGCAGAACAGACTGTAGGAAAACCGGAAACGACAAAGCGAGATATTAACGAAGAATATTTGCGCAATGCACCTCAGGTCCGTCCTGTCACTAAGTTTTCATTCCTTTCGGTATTGGCGCTGACGTGCACTCCACGTATACATAGAATACCGACCATAGCGTAAATCAGCACAAGCAGACCTATCGTCGGCGGATGAGCGTCGTCGGCGCCAAGGAAGGCATGAATGAGGGAGAGACGGGGAGCGCTCGCCTCGGAGAGGGGAGTTTGGGAGAATTAGAAGAGGCCGAGCCACATGAGGGTTTGGGGAGACAGAAAATGGAGGGGGAGTTGGCTGAAATTGCGCGGGAGGACGCGGTACATCCTTGAGATGATAAGGACCAGAGTTGATTCGAAGAGTCAGTAGATGTAAAGAAATGTTCAGTGAATTTATTCAAGTGTTCCAGCCCCTCGGGAAAAGAAATTCGACTTTCAGTACGCGTCTAAGATGATGATTCCGCGATCAGAATGGATTCTAACCGGTGTCACTATACTACAGAGGCAAATTCAAAAACCATTTGCTCAAGTCACTCAAAAATGAACTCGTTTCTCCGATTCAGACGGTAGTAAGCATTAGCCCACCGCGAGGGTCGAACTCGCAGCCTTCAGATTTATGCCCGTAAGAGTCTGACGCTCTATCCGATTGAGCTAGGCGGGCCCTGGGGAACGCGGATGGGAGAGTAGTGTGGCGTTAGCGCCGGCATCCCGATTGAACAGAACTGCTCGCGCAAATTTCTATTGTAAAGCCATACATAACAACAACCTTCACCTTACTGTCGCGCATTGTATGCTGGCAATGACCCTAGGGGCATACACCCCAAGTGTGAATTTTTTTGGTTAACGAGGCCCGGACCGACGGAAAAGCACCTTACTGTATATAGCAATTCTGTGATGCGAAATTCACAAGCGAAAGTTGAGAAAAGCAGACAACGAGTGGGGAGCGTTATTCGTTACGGTTGACACCATACAGTTGACACCATACAGTCTGGCATTTGTCTGCCAGAGTTTTTGTAAGACCATGGGAACAATTGGAAAGTTATTATCGGGAATGTTCGAGAAAGTACTTACTAAAGTTGGGCAAGTAAATTTTGAGGTGGGCACGTATTCTTCTGGCTCCAAGTCAGACAATAACAGTATCCCCCTGCTTTGTTCTGGGGATACAAACGAGAATCTCACGTTAGGCAGCTCCATTATACGATGAAAAGTACTTGGATACATTCAAACGGAAAAGGGCGTCTAGTAACGGTCCGGTGTTAGGGCTTTGTACCGATTTGGCAATAGCTTTCTATAAAGGGGCTTTGTTTTACTGTCGTGTTATTGTCCGCGTTGACGACGCCGCTCCAGCTACATAAGGCCCTTATCGCGACGATGGTCCACAAACCACACTGACTTTATCTCTCAACTATCACCATGTCATCAAATTCTAGTCCCCCAGAACTCCCAGTAGCCAGCAAAAGGCCGCTGCTCCCCCGCTCAATCATCGTGAAAAACAAAAAACAACCCAACTTCTTCGATCCATGCGCTGTGGCCTCGATGCGCATTTTCCTGCTCGAATCCCGGTCCAATAAAATGCTTGCGTCAGCTCTCGACATTCACCACCACTGGCGAGGATTCGGGTTCGACGAAGCGTCCGGGAGAGACGTTCTCCACCTCGCAGCGACGGTTGGCGACGTTCTCTTAACCCACGAGCTCCTCTATCTCGGATTCGACCCGAATGTTTCTGACAAGGAAGGTGTCAGCCCACTGTTTATGGCCCTGTACACCGCTGCACAGGCGGTTGACCCGCGCATCGTAGCGATGACTAGGCCCTACAGGACCTATATGATCTCCAAAAACGAGTTGGACTTGCCAGGGGGCCCAAAGCAAATCCTCACACGACAATCGAGTATCGTCGGAGCGCTGATCGAACAACATGCCGATGTGAACAAGACATGTTACGGCGTAAGCCTTCTTGAGCTCGCCCTCCGAGCGAAAGACTGGCCGAGTGTGGCCCTGCTCCTCAAGCACGGTGCAGATCCTAACGTCATGACCCCCGTCCGGCTCGAACTATGCACATTCAGCCCCGACCAACGCAACATCTTCTTCCAATTCGTAAAGCGTATGGCCCTAGCCAAGGGCGCTGAGCGTCCCCCTCGCAAATGTCCTTGCTGGTCTGGAAAAACGCTGAATGAGTGCCACGGGGTACCCGATGCTAAAATTCCCTACCCGTTGGAATATATTTGCTTTTGCGGAACCAAGAAGGCGCACAGCAAGTGCTGTAGCAAGAAACCCGTGGGGGTTCTGACCAAGTGGAATGAGAGCATCCAGCGCATCAGCGTGCTCACGGACTCAGCTGTTGACGAGTCTCAGGCTTTCCGAACGGCTTTGCGTCGTATTCAGGCGCTCGATTTCCCAGAGTTCAGGGATCCCAACAACCCTGCGCCGAGGCAAATATCCGGTGATAATCTCCCATTCTCCGATCTCGACCCAGGTACCCTTGAGCGTTTCCGCAAGGAAATGGTCAGGCTTGGTATAGTCGATCCCGCATTTGCATACGGGATGACCAAGTTGCGGTTCCCATTGTACGTTCCTCAGAAAGAAAAGAAAATGTATTTCTTTCTAATATCCTTTCTTGTAGACCAGCCAATAGAGCATCCGCACTCAAGCTCATGCGCAAAGCCTACCAATCCAACTGGAACGCTGCCATAGACGAATACATTAGCTTGGGCGTCGACCCGCGCTCCACGGCCGAAATCGAAAGGCAGGCCAAAATCGGTACTTGGGGCGGGTCGCTCATCAAGGAGTGCGAAAGCGATGAATGTACAAACCTCGAGACAGATCCTGGGGTCGAAAAGATGCTTCAGTGCAGTAAATGTCAAATCGTAAGTTTTTTTTTGGGGTTGCATTTTTGTTCATTTCTCACCAAACGGTCATATAGACCGTATACTGCTCCTATGAGTGCCAAAAGGCTCACTGGCGGAAACATAAACACCGGTGTAACAAAACGCAGCAATCACCGCAGCTCTTGCCGTCGCAGCGAGCGATACAGGATTATTTGGCGGAGAAAATTCGCACGACCCCGGATATTGCGATTCCATTGGGGTTGGTGTCAGAGGATGGCGAAGAGGTTGAGTTTGAGTTCCCTTGTTAGAGAAGGCGATGTGTCACACATATTTTTTTTCATTTCTTTCTTCGTTGGTAATGTATCATACACTGACCCTTGTAGATATAATAGTCGTACGAGTGCCTAGAGATGTGAGTTAGGTCGTAATATGGATAGAAAATAACCAGCCATTGGACAAAGGCCCTCTCAATTGAATCTGGGGCGACTTTCGCTAAGCCTCTTTATAGTCACGAAACCGTGGGGCATTCACTGGCACTCCACCCCAACCCCACGAGGCATTACGTTGTTCACATACTCTTTACGTATCCTTATCTTCCAGGCCCTTCTCAGACATACTCATCTCGTGAACCGACAATTTTGTGGCGAGCATCTTCTCTCCAAGTATTTTTTGCTACTTATTGACCCGCGTTTATTATCATCACAGCTGGTATGGCTGCAGTCCACACCGCTAGTACACTCGAAAAAAACACCGCAGAGCTTGATGACTACCAGATCGTCGAACCAAAGACCCCCAGCGCCAATTCCCAACCCGAGGAAGAATCCGAACCCGTCAGTGTTTCATTTTCCATAGCCCGATGTTTCTTCGTGGTATTTACTATCCATTGAACTCTCCCAGCGTGGCTTCATTGAGCTTGTCCCCTTCGACTCAACTCGGGCAGGTGTCGATCCTGCCGAGCTTGTCGGGAAAGTATTCGTGAACGCGTATCATATCTCAGCAAACCCAGACGATGAAGGCACTGGGCTTCCGGGCTCCTTTGGAATTGAATTCACCGATGGTTCCAAGTACCATATCCGCATATACAATGCAAGGGCGGCCGGAGAGTTTGCAGATGTAAACATCGATATTGAGAATGGTTTCCGGGATGAGGATGATTTAGAGGGGAAACGCGTCACTGCAGCCTCCCTTCTCCGACATGAAGATTCTTTTATTCGTAATTATGGCTACAATAACGGTGAAAAGAACCACGGACTAGTGGAGTACGTGGTTCTTGGTATCAAGCTGGAGGGATTCGATGAATGGGTTAGATTCTCTGGTGGTACGGAGGAGGTATATCTTGATGAAGAGGTGAGTAAGGTGGTGATCGATTCTTATGATGTTTATCTGGTGAGGATGAAAGGGGCTAGGGTAAAGAAGGGTCGACCCAAGAAATATTGATCGTTCAAAGAATGAATGCTGTTTAGGTACCGTACAAAATGTGAATATTGTAGGCTGGCTAAATAAATACCCCGGAAACGACAAGTATCAGGTTTCTTGGCATCGATTATGTGCAGTCGTGGGCAGCATCGCGACGCGAACGCCAAATTTGAGGAAAGATGCTGCTTACAGGATTGTGGGTCCATATGGACACTCAACCATAAATCTGAGTCAGGCAGATGTCACGAGATACATTCAACCAGATAACCCAAAACTGTATTCCTACCTTATCTAAATTCTAAGTGGAGGTAAGTTAGGAGAATGAGGTCTTTTGTCATCATATATATCGCCAGACTTCAGCGCTTCTGAGTTGTCATTCATAGTTACCCCATTCCCGCTCGCGTTGCTGATGACCAGTTCGCTTGGTAACAACACAGCACGGTCAACTGCGACTGGCAAACCTCGATGACGGCCTCGCACCCTGCAGCGTGATGTACAATCAGTGAATCTGTTCATTCTCAAGTCCCCTTATTACTTACATGATAACAATGATCACGAGCTTCGAAAGCGGGTGCATGGCACCTGAGAATGAAAAGTTGTCCTGGGCGAAAATGAGGCGTGACGGCGTTGATATCATGTCCTGCCTAAGAGAGCTCGCGTGTACGTACCGAAGGGAACCCCAAACTTAGCCCAATCCCACCAAATGCGGACACAAGTTCGAACAGGATACGGAACAGGTCAAACCACTTCTTCGAGTCGTCCAGGATGTTCTTGCGCTCAATTATGGCGACGATAAATATTGCCCAGACCAGCCACCAGATATCTGTCACCCCAGAGTGGTATGGAGTCAGCATTGTCAACGCAAAAGAGATAATATTAATGAGCTACCCATCGACATCTGTCTGCGCAAATGCCACCCAAGGTACCGTCCAACACGCTCTTTCCGCGACACCAAAGAGTTGACGTCGTTCGGTTCCTCGTTTTCGTCAATCGGTGGCACTTCGAAGACCCCCAGCGATCGTTCTTCATACACATTCGTCGACCGAATGCTCAGAGCAACCTGCAATGGGAATGCGGATCCAACGGTTAGTACCATCTGTGAAAGAAGATGAATGTGGCCAAACATACAGGATACACCTAAAATGTTAAAACGTGAGTAATAGGAGCGTACTCCGTTAAAAGAATAAAATTCACCGCGATGTACATCATTACCACATAGAGAAACCTAAAGGAACAAGTCGTCAGCTATAGTTACTCTCATGGACCCCAAATATTGTGACGCACTGCAAGGCGGGTGCAAGGCTCGCAACTGGAACAATGGCGAGCCCCGATGCCCGAGCTGCGAGTCCTTGGAAAAGACCTGCGATAATGCGTGGTCCTTTGGGTATCGATTCATATGCAGGTAATCCAAGGTCTGGGA